TAAAGGATTTCAGACCGACCGTCAAAATGGCTTGAACGCAGCATATCCTTCAGAAAACATGCCCAAATAACTATTTCTATAACAAAATATACAAAACGGAAGTTCATTTTGTAAACATCGAGCATCAAAGAAGAGCCCTTTTCGCCAGGTCTGGGAGATTATGAGCTACGTGGTCACGTGGTCCGGTGACGCCATGCAAGCCACAGGAGAAGAGGGCCAGTGTGTTTAGCTGTCAAACTGAGCTGCCATTATCTAAATGTAAGATGACTATTCAAACTCCTGATAACAGTTAACACCCATTTGCCTCTCTTACCCGAGGGATTTAAACCCTCGTGCATGCCTGTGAAGCCATTATCCTGTCTATTCAATCAATGAAATAGCATTAAATTACGACTATATCTACTAGTGTAAAAAGATATGCTCAATATAAATGTATATGTCCATTTGAAGTAAACAGAAAATCAAAAATTAAGTTAAAATCACTTCCGCAAATTTTAATTTTTATAAAACTCTGGTAAAAGAAATTGATAAATCTATTTTTTTGTTTTTGTTGTCATGCAAACATCTTGAGTAACGAAAGTTTTTAGAATAACAACGTTTTTCTATAATATTACACGTTTCTTATGTTAAAAAATTTGGAGACGACACACTTAAAATTTATTACGATATGTACGTTTAATTTACTGATAAATTTGTCCTCAACTTCAAGTAGGTTTTTAAAATGTCTGGTAACGAACAACTTTTGTAAATTACTTTCTAAAAAAATGCATTTGTCACCGTATCGTTTCCTCATCATGGATGTATCTGAAAGATATTTTAAATGGCTAAAATATTGCAAAAACATCAAACAACTAAAGATGATGACCTGCGGCAAAAGAAGTCGCGATTTTTTTGCCGGGCGACAATGTGAAAGTAGCCTCAAGCTATTTATTGCGTTATTTAACATAAACATTCTAGACACACACCCACACTTCGTTTGATCTACTTGTCATCAGATGTATCTCTGGAACAAATAACTAAGTGGCCAATTTGACTTTTCTCTATCGTTAAATGTTTGAAGTGTTTGATTACAAAAAACAGTTGAGACATTTCTAAAAATATGCCATCAAAATAGCTAACTGCAATGAACAATATTCAAGGAAAAATAACATAAAAGTCACGGAACACCTCAGACAAAGCGAGATTATCGTCAACGAGCTCAAGATCCTTTGCTGCTTTTTTTTAGTGCATCCCACGGCAACGCAGATGAAGCAAAGGCCCTGGGCTTGTATGTCGTCACAGTACCACGTGGCCCAGAGCTGTTGCTTCATTTTTTGCAAATTCAGGTAGGGTTTATTAAATCGCCTTTTTTCAACTAAGATGTTTATATTTATACTATTCATGGGGTGGTAATCCATCCAAACATATTTCTAGTGTGTAGATTGAGTGCTGGATCTACGAATTTTAACGTGTCTTAAACCCTTTAAAACGTGTTTGTTTTCTTGAGTGCGTGAAAAAAATATGACGGTAACTTGCAATTGCGTGAAGTCTATACGGGTCATTGACCGAGTGGCGGCGTTAAAAATATGTTGACCATATGTAACATAATAACACAAAATGAAATGACAAAAAATACTGACACAGAATTCTAAATAACCATAAAATGTTCAACCAAACAAAATCAAATTGAAATAAATGGTATAAATGCAAACGAAATCTAAACAAAATAAACGGGATAAAAATCTGAAGTGTATGAACGCATACTTTAACGCATACTTTTCTTGTAGTAAATAAAAAGTTGAAGCTTCCACAAATAAATTCGTATTCTAACTCTGGCTGGAGATGTCGAGTCTTTTCCAATTGAAAAAATCTGAAGTGTATGAACGCATACTTTAACGCATACTTTTCTTGTAGTAAATAAAAAGTTGAAGCTTCCACAAATAAATTCGTATTCTAACTCTGGCTGGAGATGTCGAGTCTTTTCCAATTGCCGCAAATTGCCAATTTTTGGTCTATTTAGGAGGACTAGAGCTGGATTTCATCAACAAATTAATATCATTGCCGGGGAATTGATCTAAACCCATTGCACTAGTTCTAGCGACGATTAACACACCCAACATCAAACCAAATCTAAGTGATTAGGCCATGATTTTACCTGCTAACGACGTTCGATTCGTCTTTGTCCTCATAAGGGAAAGGAATCGTGTTTGCTTGAAATTGATATACTGAAGTCACTCCTGGCAGCTGCGGTTTGCAGCGTCGCACCTGCGTTTAATGGCTTATTTCTGTCTTAACAGAATTCAGGCAAAAAATTAATAGGTCTTGTGATTATGAATGTAATCACATCAAGGTGTTGCAGTGACTTGCGCTATGCATCAGGACCTGTCAAGTAGCACGCCTTTTCGTCGCTTTGGGTGCGTACACAGAGAAATATCATGCAAGCTAGTGCGACACTTGAAGTGTAAACATTTGACTAAACTAGGTTATGCAGCGTCTCATCGTCTTCCAAACCAAGGGTGTTTTGGTTCCTCACAGGCTTACACACGGGGAGAGGAGACGCTCCCAGTGCTTTTCTAAAGAAAGGAAGAATGTTTTGCAAACACAATTAAGCTACCTGCATCAAACACACACGTTAGTTTGCGTTGGATTCAGTGGAACCACCACAACATCATATTCTAAAAGGTGTATACTTACAGTATGTTTGTAAAGAGCATTTTTTCCTCCTCATTTCACTAATAAAGTAGATTATCAGATCGACTGAGAGTGCATCTCTGATGTTGAAAAAAAGTAGCGGTGAGGAATACATACAACCGCAGGGGTGCCTAAGCGTGCTTTAATTGTGTTCTTTGGGGCAGCTATTGCCTCCAAGTTTGGTTTTTGGTTTCTTCGATCGCATTGAAAAGGAGATTTACGAGCTGATCTTGATCTCAGTATCTACTCGATCCATTTAAGACCTAGTTCCTGTAGGCTTTGTTTAAACCAAATACTACTTTAATTGTTCCGAAGCAGAAAACCTTATTGGGACAAAACCAATCTACTGGTGTGATCTCAAGCCTAGTAGGTGCCACTGAAAGCTCTTTCTGATTGGAGCTAGATCTGAATGTGAAATTTGCATCACTTGCACGTTAATCTTAAAGCACCGAAAGTCTTACGAGACCACCCCCGCCTCTCAAGGGACGCTCACTCAAAACAACAGCGCAAAATAAGCAGACGTGCCGAAACACGAAACACCAACTTTTGTAGGATGTTTCATATGAGTCTAACTTTGAAAAACGTATTCCTAGTTATGAAAGTTTGATGTGTCGTAAAACAAATCTTTTGGGCTCGCTGTAGGATGTTGTTAATGGATTTGATTTGATTTTTTTGACGTTTTTTAGTTTGTTGGTTAAGATTTGTACAAAGTGGAACAAGTGGCATGTAATCTTTGCATTTGATAAAGTCTATCTTTTGTTTTTATTCGAGCCTCATCAAAACAACAATAAAAATGTACAGATTACTTCTTTGTTGATGAACTTTTTTGTTTATTTTGCCGTACAGAAGCACTTGTCCAATTAACTCGGGCTAAGCGTTGCGCGCTTAAATGAATCTGGCGTTAACGCTGTTTGCTTTAGAGACCTGCAGAGTATTGAAATATTGTTTGTTTCTGTGTGTTAGCATACATAATTTAGAGGTGCATTAAAAGCTCCGGCAATTTGTTCCACCCTTGTGGCTTGATTGTCAGTTACTTTTGTCGCTAGAGGCAGGAGATCTTTGCATTGGATGGATTAATGGAATTATATATACTCCTTGCATGGCCACTTTTACCCTACGGGATTTTAATGAAGTACGTTCTCTCTAAAGAGTGGGAGGACTTTGAATCTTTCCATTTTCGACCAAACTATGACAAAGACTCCCACAACAATGGCAACAAATGTCATCTTGCAACACAAGGGGCCTCGTGGAATACATGCACATCCCTTAAACTATGCACTGCTGGGTTTGCGCAGTTTGTGCTATTGACGGCAACGCATCTACCCCACAAAACAATGCAATGTCATCCAGACAGCGCAGCCCAGGCGCCCCTATTGCCATAGTTTAATGTTAACTGAAATGGTCCTTTCATATCCGAAAGACGTGACGCCTGTAATGTACAGCATATACATCAAATAGCTGAAAAAAGTACAATTATTACTTCCTATGATACTGCTATAATAATAATAATAATAATAATAATAATAATAATAATAATACACAAACACAAATATGCCCTTGAACAGGCTTGAACGCGCCAACTCAAAGCGGACACGCGCGTAGGAACGCAAGCAGAAACGCGCGCACGTATTTTAACTGGTAGTTACAAATGCCTCACGCAAAACACCTATAAATATAGGGGGTATTCTCTTTGTCCAAATGGCGAGGATTGTATTGGTTGTCAAACATTGACGAAACTTCGGCGCGTTGAAAATATTCACGCTTTAACTGTGGTGAAAATGTTTTGGAATCTGAAATCTAGTTCGGGGCCCTACTGCGGCAAAACATGGTTATGAATTTCGTTAGCAACAAATGCTACAAATGCCAAATAATTGTCTTAAAGAATACCAAATAAGAATACGGAATAAACATAGGCCCGAAAAAAAGGAAGGAAAACAATGGGCCAAATACGTGACTCTAGGAAAGGTGTCACTGAGAAAAATTTGGAAAGTATCGCAAAATCAGTTCGAATCGGTTGCATGCGGTACCGATTGCGGTAAAGTTAGAACATAAGAAATTTACAACATATACATCCAATAGAACGGAGGTTTGATCATCGTTTCGATTAACTTAAAATTCTTCCCTGTCTCACATCGATCGCATCCACGTACATCACATTACAATTCTTTCCCTCTACCCTGTTATATCTCAATAACTTTTTTTTAACAACTAGTGCACTTCAGAACTTTCAAGCGTGGCACATCTGACATAAGAAATTCCCCTTGATAATAAAACTCTAGAGATTGTCACAAAAGCTCGTCCGAAATAATGGTGGTACAACAGCAACCTACCTGAAAGCAGGAAAATGGAGAGAACCACTTGATTCATCGTATGGCTGCCTTTCTGTTGCATGATCGTGCGGTTTGCCTTCACAACATGGTATTCTTCTTTGCCTTCCTGAATATTGGTGTCCCAGCAATTGCTTAACAAATGACTGACAGCTCGCTCTAGACTCTCATGTTTATATAAGGTCCAGGTTTAGATACGGCTGACAGGGTTCCTTTACCTATTACGAAGCACACATTTATTTATTTATAAATTCGGTAATGGTATTTTGCCGTGATGACACCCGAAGTTTCCGGGTGCCATCGACCAAACAAGCCGCAGTCGACAGGCCCAGTGCTTTTCAACAGTATGCGCCGCCTCCACAATCGTGCGATCCAGATAAAAGCAACGTGTTCCGGTGACAGCGGTTGCGACAACAACCAGAACCAGAATGGCCAGGAATCCTCTCGAGGCTATTGAAAATGGAATGTAGATGCGACCAAATATGATTAGATCAACAGAAGGTTATTATCACTCATTTATTGGACTGTTAGGAAGAATTGTTTTACCGGGGTACTGAAACGCCGTGGAAAGGTTTAGATACGCGACAATGGCTCTCAATGCAAACTTCATGTCGTTTGAATAATGTATGTGAAATGCGTCACTATTGATGTTCACGATCATTTCATCGGCTTATAGATCTCTCACTTATATAACACCCCCGGCAATGAAGTTGTATTAATAGCTGGAGGAATCGGCATGGTGGGAAGTGGGGGTGGGGTAGGGGTGACGACCCTCCTCTCTGCTAGGTATTGAAATGGGACAAACGTTTGGTCAGTATGGGGGATCAGTTAGCTGGACGAACCGGTGTGACAAGAATGGTAGCCCTAGGAATGGAAGTTCGGGGTCCCACATGATAAGTACAGGTTAGGGTTAGTCGGAGTATTGTGGTCAGTATATGGGACGAAGGTAACCTGTACAAAGTAATGGGAGACGGTCTACGGTTCCTAGCGGACTACCATCTTGTTACACCGGGCTACTCCTTGGGAGACATAATATATAAGATTAGCATTTGGATTTGAATTCCAATTGTGATCCCCCCCCCAAAAAAAAAAGAAATAAAAAAATAAAATAAAATAAAATAAAATAAAATAAAATAAAATAAAATAAATAAATAAATAAAAATAAAAAATCTAACCTTTTTACTAAAGATTCAGCATTTTAGATCTGAAAAACACAAGCAAATTCCTGATCGCTTTTTATAATGCAGTCCATAAAGCCTAAGTTCTTCCCTCCCCTAATCATTATTTCTCCCTAAGTTCATGATCTCCTGCTCCCACGTCTTTTCAAACAACTCATAAATAATAAATTATTGGCGAAGACAATATACTTCGGGAGTCTCTCTCGCTAGAGCAGTCAAGATAACTCGCCACAACTCAAGACCGACAGAAGGTAGGAAAATTTATTTTCACCCACCAACCCTCTCCTCTACATTTGCATCTTTATTTCCGATATCTACTATATATGCTATATATCTCTACACTGCTGGCGTCTTTATCGACCCCACCTTCCATAATTGCCAACCTCGCTCAAGTATCCATCTCAGGATTTTACCAATTTATCGCGCCGCTAGGTCATCAAGGTGTTTCTGCTCGAGCAACACAGGGTGACTCCCGCTCTCGCCACCAACAACAACCAATTACTGAACCGGGCAAATCATTTCTCCCTCTCCTTTCATATAAAACTATAAAATTCAATATAAATCTTAATTGGTTATCAAACACAGCACTTGCTACATTTCAATGCATTAAAGTAGATAACTAAATGAATAACTAAAGAGATATCTAGATATATATAAAGCAAGCATTAAAGAGACATAATCCTTACCGGATTTATCTCCTTCCCTTTGATAACAAAAAGTGCTCATATACGTTGAAATGAAAGGACACGCAAACTCATTGGACATACATAAGGGACACGCTACTTGATGTATTTTAATTTCCGTTAAGTTACCGTACGACTGACAACTTTATTGCTTAAAAGCGTGTAATGGGCAGTTCGGATAAAAGTGTAGTTTTACATAATGAAAACCAGGTAGAATAAGGACAGTGGCTATTATCTGTGCTGTCCTGCTGCAGCAGTGTGATATTGTCCAACACTATTGTTTTTATTATTAAATGTCGCTTCCGTTACTGAGAATTGCACGTAAATGAATTGGAAATGACGTCCACAATCGTTTAAGAATCGCACCATACGCGTGGGTTATCAAATGAAAACTAACTGAAGTTCATTTCTGATCATCTACCGGGGCATTAAGTGCTTTTGCATTTTCTTTACGTTTCTTCTATTGCTATATGACCAACACATTTTAATATATAAAAAAACCAGAACAAGCTATGAGTGTAAAAACAAGTAGCATTCATATTAATTAGCCTTCTTTTCCAGTAAGTCTTTAATGGCTGTTTCATTATTGTAAATGCACTCCAGTTTCTTAAATTATACATGTGGTGTATCTCAACCCTTTTGTCATCCTACACTACACTAAGGCCTCATTCCCATTGAAACTATCGGTTTACGGAGATCGATCCAACTCCGAAGGGACTCCCGCTGAATGCAATCAGTTAAAACAGATTGACACTCACACTCTTGTTTCCAACGTACTTTCTGTGTTCCACTCAATGCCAGGAGGGGGCGTGTGAATCTGTTACACTGATTGCATTCAGCGAGAGTCCCTTCGGAGTTGGATCGAACTACGTAGACCGACGGTGTCTATGGGAAAGGTGTCTTAAATGTGATGCAACTTTCTCGGAGAATTCGGCACGCGCTATTTAGCGCGAAGCACATTAGTGTGATTTTCATCTCAAATTGCTTGATTCCCTTGGGGCGACAAACACGATGTTCTACTATACGTTAGCTGAAGTAATTGCTCTAATTGGTAACTCCTAGCATATGTGTATTCTTTGTTAATTTTAATTAATCTCTGTTATGTTACATATGATTTTAAATGTATGCTGCATGATTTGTATTTATGATAAATCTCTAAAGACAGCAAGGAGTTATATCTCACCATTTAATTAAGATATTTTATTAGCAATTTTACTGGTACATCTGTTCATTATATTACGATACATGCTAATTCACACACTGTATTATCATTATCATAGTATTATATTGCACAAAGTCGTGCTCATCTAGGTACCAGTACAGAATAAATAAATTGACTGAACTGATATTACAAAGCGATTTGAGGTCCCCTTGTAGAGTTTCATTGGTAATGGTTCATTATCAAGTGCATAGCTTTATACGTTTTGTCAATAGCTGAATAGTACATACACATAGTTGACTTATGGGTAAATATAAGAACTTTAAAAATTTATTTTACACTGCTATTGACAAAATAATCTATACATATGATTAGGTTTGATATTGGCATTAGGTATTCCCTTTGTTCCCGCTTGAAGTTACTATACTGCTGTTATTGCGGAAGCCGGCTTGGTTTTCAATTAGTTGTGACACATTCATAAACTTCTCGTACTTGAAATAGTTGATAAGTCACACCGACCGGTCGGATGCTGTGTAGCCAAAAAAAGTTTTGTTTTAATGCCACAGTTTTATTTCGAATTGTGGGTGGCACTTTTACTCCCTTGGTACTTTTAAGCGTCCATGTTTTGAACACCAAAATCGATTGAGCAGAGAAAGAGAACAGCTGAAACGAATTCGCACTAAATCACAAGATTTGTAACCATGCACAATCTGAAGAGAAATGAAGGAGCGTAAACTGAAAAAAAATACAACTTAGAATTGATTGTAAAATCTCAAAGAAAAAAAAATGACGAGATCAAAACAGCACCCTGAACTTGACAACCATGATATAATATATCTCAGCATCACATTGAAGATTCCCCATGGCAGCACAATTATCTTTCTATGGCCATTTCCTTGAAAAGCCACCTTTGGGAGCTTTTATCTTTTATAGGTAATAGAATATTCCACTTTATGGAATGTGGTTTCGGCATTTATCGGCCACTTATATTGTTAGTGTATATCTCGTCGGGGTGCTTTTAAGTAAAGTATATTGTGTGTCCGAACTTTGCTCCTTTTAACGCGCTTTATAGGCACGTGTCCACGGGAACTATGTCTGCTTTATCTGTAATACAATCCTGGAACGCCCAACCGTTAAGGTTCAAGACGACAGGTTTTGGCAGATTTCGATGTATCTCTTATGCCAACGGTTCCAACAAACTTCATTGGCGACAGCGACTATTTTGACTTTCCGATCGTGAAATCTAATTTGATGCTGTTTTTGTGAATGGTGCTATTAAAGCCTTTCCAGATATGACATCTACAAAGAGAAGCTACGTAAATTAACCAGCAGAACTCGTTGCATTTTGTTTCGAAAATAATCGCCTCCTTTGCCTTTTAGATAATGACATAAACATCGAACTATACGTCGGCAAGCAAATGTAATGTGAAGGAGACGGTTCTGCCCCACGCTATAATTTAGACAATCGGAAGAGAGGTTGAAATGCAAAAAGCGTTATCAAGGAACGACAAAGCGCTCAATGCTACAACCAACAGTTGTTGATTTTTTGTAATTTTATTGTTTGCATATGCGTACATGTGTATTCTACCTATACATATACAGCTAACATGTACAACTACACGCAACATTGCACCATTACCCGCATGCAGTGATGAACTACAATTTTCTCATTTTAAATCTTCACTTTTAAGTGCGTCCTTAATTAATAACCCCATGACACGAATCGTGCTGCATCCTACGTACATCATTTCTTCGAAAGCCAACACCCGAGTATTTCAACTTAAGCGTGAAATAAAAAAACGCTGAATCGCGAGTTTGCTTATATTCATACACCCAAGTAACCGTCGCTTTACCGGTTCCTAAATATATCAAACACGCACTAATTACCTCGAATCAATTAAGTAGACGCTTTGATTTAAGAAAAAAGTAAAAAAGAAGCAAGGGGTGAACAGGGGGCTGTGAGGTATTAATTTTAATCCTGATGATAATAACCTCTGTGTAGAGTTCTCTAAATTCCTTGTATTAATTTTGAATAAGTAACTAACAGTAATAGATAAAGTAACAAATCAAGAATCTGTCAGGTTCAAAATGGAGAAAAAGATACTATCGCTCTAACAGACCAAGTTAGCCACCCCCGCCTTTCATAGTAATACTGGTACCATTTACAAGACGCTTTTATCCATAAATTTACATAAATGATCACAATGTAATGTATTCTACACTCGCACCAGTGTACTAGTGAAAACTGTCTTCCTCAATTTATATGAGCAAACATCACCGCCATGTGCAAAACGAA